TTCTGGATTTGGCTTTCAAAGCATCCTCATGCATTTATTAAAAATATAATATAAATAGAGTTAATTCAATTAATTATTAAAAATATAATATAAATATAAATAATTCAACTAATTTTTCATTTTAAATCAAAAAATAATTTTTTAAAAAATATGTACAAATTGTTGTCCAATAAATAACTTTTTTTAACGCTTTAATTAATATTCTGGATTTGGCTTTCAAAGCATCCTCATGCATTGCAGTGACATTTTCTACATTAACATTTGCTTTTTTCAAAGCACATCACTGCCCCTTGTGCAAATTAAAATTTTCACTTTTCAACTCGAAACCTTAATAATTAAGTGATATAAAAAATAAAATTTGACTTTAATTATAGTAACAAAATAATTAAATTAATATACAAAAGATTGATATTAAAATTAATATCAATTTTTTTTTATTTTTTATATAATTTAATGATTAAAATGTGCATTAAGAATACATGTTAAAAAATTTGTTGATTAATAATAAGTCTCTTGTTGACCGAACATGCTTGAAAACATTAATTAGTATATTTTTTAGTTTAATATATTATTTAATACATTCATTAAAACAATTATTATTTTTTAATTTAAAATTAAAAATAGATAAATTAAAAAATATAGTCATATATATAAAATATAAGAAATAGTTAGATTAACTATATTTATATTATATTTAAATAATTAAACTAGATAAATATTAAAAATTGTGCCAATTATTTTTTTAATGCTTTAAACTACATGTGTCGTAAAAAGTGTTAAAAAAAAATGCATAACATTTTGCAGTGGAAAAGGTTTTGCAAATTTGGGGACACTACTAAAATTTTGGCTTTTAACAACAATATATCAGCAACATAGGATTGTTTGTTGTTAAAAATATGTATCAGCAACAAACCCTATGTTGTTGAAAGTCCTCCAGTACACCTCACCCTGAAAAAGCTGCCCTACTTTTAGCAATATACTTCTTGTTGCTGAAAGTAACTTTCAACAACATACTCCATCTTGCTGATATTTTCCAGTGAATCCTTGGGGAGTTAATTGAGCTCTACTTTTCAGCAACATGTTCCTTGTTGCTGAAAGTGATTTCAGCAACAAGAACTATGTTGCTGAAAACCTTAAGTATTAGCAACATATACCTTGTTGCTGTTATTCTTATCTTTTTACCAACTAAACATCAGCAACAAGGAACATATTGCTGATATTCTTTGACTGGTCGTTGACCAAAGTTATAATATATATACACACCGGCTGTAATACCCCAAAAATTTCTAGGATAAATAAGTGAGTTAAGGACTTGTTTGAGAAAGAAATATTGTTTTGGACTTAATAGCCAAATTTTGCTAAGTTGAGGGACTTAAAAAGGGAAAAGAATTTGGATAAGGATGGCTTATTTCTTTTCTCCTTTCTCCTCTTTTTCTCCAGCCCGATTCTGCTCTTCTTCTTTCTTCCCGCTGCAGCCCGAAATCCCCCCTCCAAGCCGCCGGCACCAGCTTTGAAAAATTGGTGAGAAAGCTTGGAATTTCTCCTTCTTTCTTGCCCAAGAATCTGATTTGGAACCCAGAAATCTTTCCCCCTTGCTGGAAATTCCAGATCTGCCTTGCTCTGCTTGTCTTCACCGCCGGCTGCCATGTGGGTGGGTGATTTCTGGGCATTTTTTCGGTAAGAACAGCCCCTAATTCCTTTGTTCTTGCTTGAATTGGCTTGGGTTAACTTTGATTGCTCTTATTTCCTTCAATTTTTGGGTAAACCCGTGAGCTTCCCCTGCACTGCCGCCGGCTTCTCCCCCTGCCAAGTCCGGTTCTTGCTGGAAAATTCTGGTATGTGACAGCCTTTTAAGGCTTAAATTGTCCATTTAGTTTGCTGCCTTGTATGTTCGAATTGTGTTGGAAAAATGGGGGAAAATTCCGGTAGCTTTAGGACAAGTTTAAGTATTAATTCAAGTGAGAATTATATGATTGAGTGTTAATTGCTTCTTGTGATTTTTGGAGAGACAATCCCGTGAGAATAGGCTATGGTTTTGCCAATTTTGGAAGTGGGAGTTACTGTTCACGTCGTGGTTACTGTTCACGGCACTATTCACGGGTACTGTTCACACACCGAGGGTCGACCATTAACGAGGATTTAAATAATTAGTTTGTGATATAAGAACGAATTTGGAGATATCTAATAATGTGGAGATTTATGGAAATAGCATTGAGATTGAGTGCTCGGTTTTATGCGAGTGAGGTAAGTAATTTATGGTAATGCCCGTACAGTTTTTAAAAGCATGTTTTGATTTGTTTTTGAAGTGGTGGCGGGACTAAACCCGTTTTACACGGGCATGACTGATTTGAAGTGAGATTTTTATGCTTTTCATTAAATTGAGCATGCCTACTTGAAATTTAAGTGATT